AATTAATACTAATAACATATCTATAAATTTAAAATACCTGTTGGTTTTGTACGTCGAATCTATGCCGACAAACCAATAATAAGTCCGGAATAGACTCACTGAATCCGGATGGGCCATGAATATGTGTGTCAGCGCATTTGTATTCGGATCGACATTTGTATAAACTATGTAGTTGCTGCTGTTTGCCAAATGTAGAAGTTGGGTAGGAACGTCCCTACCCTCAAAACTTTCCTTACGCAACCAGTCTCTATAGTTATATACATGTCGCCGATTATCATGGTCGTGTGGATTTTTTTCATGGACGGCGGCCAAAATATTTGTTGGTGTCACATGCGCAGCAGTCATTTCACGAATAATTTTTTTGGATGACACGCTTATGCCGCTCGACTGTCGATGGCCCTCAGGATACACGGCAAATGAATGATTATGGTATCCCTTCGTTTCGTCTTGACTCGTGTGGATCATCCAGTATGTCGATCTGGCAACACGCTTTACTTGTATCTAAAAAGGGCACTGGCACGCTTTCGTTTTTGAACGTCTCGAAACAGCTTTATTCATATCTACGTTTTTTCCTCTATAACGTTCGCCTCGATCGCACTTCAAGATCTTCAGCCTTCCGGGTTTTTTGTGTTTCGAAATAGTCAAAAAGAAACCATTCAGAATTGCCGTACTTTTTGCATCCTTAATAGCCTCCACATCACTAATAAACAGCGTAGTTGTATTGAAAGCGGAACGGTAATCAACACCATCTCCTCCAAAATCTTCTAAAGACACCTACAATGTATTACATATTTAATAATTTTAAAGCATACTAATAATATAAATAATTAATTGAAACATGCAACATACTAATTTTTAATTAACATCAACTTTATAGATCATTAAGTATAATTAATTTGTAACTCCTGACACGATAATATCTAACGTTCAACTTATAGATAATCAAGTATAATTAATTTCTAATTCCTAACACGATAATATCTAACGTCCAATTTATAACATATTAATTTCAAGTCTATAAAATAAAAATTTCTAATTCATAACACAATAACATATAACGTCAAATTTATAAGATGATCAAGTTTAATATATATAACAAATTTATTTCTAACAGCTAACACAATAATATTTAACGTTCAATTTATACATAGTAATATCAAATCTATAATATAATAATTTTAGTTCTAACACGATAATACTATGTTACGTTCAATTTATAACAAAAATTATTTAAAATCTATAACAAAATAATTTTTAATAATTTTATTTATTAAAAAAAAATATATATGTCCGGCCGGTCGGACCGCACGGACCGGGTTCCGTGCGATCGTCGCGACCGGACATCAAGCCGGCCGTACGGCCGGTCTGTTAGTACTAGGACCGGTTCGTACGGCCCCAAAAGTCGTACGCCCTACGGGCCGTCCGGTTTTTTCGGCTGGACACGACCGGTCCCGTGAGGCTTTCTCGTCCGGACAGAAAAAAAAATTACCTCTGAGCTGCTTGACATGGTGCAAATGAGAAGGGCAAAATCGTCCAAGGGGGCGGTAAATAGTAATGCCCATAAATATTTCTCCATATAATCTCTATGTTAATCATTAGTCATTACATAATTTATTGACATGTTTAAACAAAGGGGACAAGAAGCTTTCAACTTACGTGTTTTACTATAAAATATTTATAGGAAATAACTATTTTCACTTCGATCTGAAGACAGAATAAATTTTACACACCACCAAATAAAAAGTTAAATTTTTCACCTCATAAAGTGCAAAAAAAAATTAAACGATACGTTATGGGTCAGACAGTCGTAGATAATTGATAAAGTGCAAAAATATTATGCGATAAACTATACGGCATACCGACGAAGGTAATTGATAAACTGTGAAATAGTTATTCGATAAACTGTGCTACAGACATGCGTAGATAATTGAAAAAATGCGAAAAAAATTAAACACACCAAAGATAATTGATAAAGTATGATTTAGTTATGCGATAAATTATGCGACAAACATTCGAACATAATTGATAAGTTGCGATACATTATGCAAAAAGCTATACAACAGACATGCGAAGATAATTAATAGAGTGCGAAATATTTATGTGATAAACTATGCGACAAATAAGCGAACATAGTTGATAAAGTGATCTCGACATATCACCGCCATCTGCACCCCCCACCACTTGCACCGTCCGCCGCTTCGAGTTGTGGTTTACTGATTTAGAGTTTAGTAAATTTATGTTTTCGCCAGCGATCTCGACATATCAATGTTTTCTTCTTCTCTTCCAAAGGGTGGAAGGGTGTTACAGATAAGTTGGACGCTTTAAACTGTCGCTTTTTATGAGGATCAGAAACAGGGTATACATTTAGTAATTTTTTGTTGTGGGGGTTCCGTTGATTGATCTTAGGCATATGAGTTGTTGGATTTAAGATATGAAAAAATGATGATTGGCTCAGCGTGTACATGAGAGAAGCAAGGAGGTCAACCTCATACAATATGGATTATGGCAATGCAGTTGGACTCTCATGTTGATCCGAATGAATCATCCTTCTCGTAGCGTCTCTGCCGGCTCCCGAGAAGCAAACCGTGAAGATGACCATATCCTATGTGGGTTGAGTCATGGTGTTCGTCTGGGTCGAGTCATGGTGTTCAATGATCAGTCGGCCGTTGGTGAAGTACTGGTGGAGCTGCAGTGGGTTTGAAAAACGGGGTACATAGGATGGTAGAGGAGTTAGAGGTGGACTGACAGAGCGGAAGGTGGGGAGGAGTTTGACTCGTTCCCGACAAACCGATGGGCCAAGGTAGTGAGATGAGGTATGATAGGTTGAGGATTGTGGCGGGGAGGATTCAGATAGTGGTGGGTGACCTGACGACTCAATGAGAGAGATTCCATGCATTGTTGAGTTGGCGGGACCCGAGGGCGACGTTCTTGTTCGTGGTGGTCTGTTTGGTGGCGGCTTTCGGATTCTACTAGTGCCTGCCAAGTGGGTGCATATGTTGTATGCAGTTGTGCAATCTGGAAATGGAGCTCCTTTTGCAGTACTTAATTGCCTTCGGTTAGAATAATTTCTGGAGGAAATTGCAAATTTGGTCCCGTTAGATTGGGACGGTTTCATTTTTAGTCCCAAGAGACACATTTTTAGTCCTTAACCAATGTTTGTTCCGCATTTGGTCCCAAATTCAACGGACCGTGAAGTCACCGTTAACCCTCAGGACTAAAATTGCGACCATGAGACTAAAATTGGATCGTCCCAATCTAACGAGACGAAATTTGCAATTTCCTCAGTTTTATTACTTTTTTTATTGCAATTTTTTATCCCGTGAGTATAAAACAATCAGTGATAGTAAAAATTTAGTT